GCTTATTCCACTGAGCCATCTCCTTGGCTGAGATTTTAATAAGATTAAATTTGAGGTGCATATTAATTCAATTAAGTGATCTTATATGCTGGTCATAGATGTAAAGGTGACATGTGTTAACTCATTGTATGCACTTGCTGGCTCTACTTTCTGGACAGGGAAATGAGCAAGGCAAGACAGCTTTGTCTGGAGCCAGCTCTGGCCAGGCAGGCCTTCTGCCTCTGGGTCCTGTCCTCCCGACCACTCTGCTGGAGGCCTGGGCCTTCTCTTCCATCCCTCCTTTGCCCAGGCCTCATTCCACCATCATCAGATGACTTATGAGAACTTGGTGATGAGATTAAATTTTGCCACTCTCACCTGCAGCCCTTAGACATGACAGTGCTGTACAAGTTAACCTTGATGTAGGAGGTAAATAGCTCTGAAAAATTATGTACATGTTGAATAAAAAACAATGTTCATGTGCTACAGAAGGCATTTTAAGTTTTGTGGTAAAAATTTTGGGGCAAAATTTTGAGACAGACTCTCACTATGCAGTTCAGGCTGGCCTTCAGCTACATAGCCCAGACCAGTCTCAGTCAAATTAATGGCGATCCTCCTGTCTCTGTCCTGAGTGCTGAGATTACAAGTGTGTATCACCAGGTCTGGTTTGCAGTAAATCTTTTAAAGCAGGTAGTTTCCCCTAGTTCTTTCTAAAAAGAAAAAAAAAAAAAAGTCATTTAGTCTCAGTTGCTTCTTTCACATAAGGTGAGGAAGTAGCACTCCAGAGAGGGCACACTCGCCCTTAATGTATATTTCTTCCTATCATGCTAATTCCCTGAAGAGGGCTTAGGAGGAAGCGGAGTACTACCACGAATTCAGACTTCACCTCAAGTACTCGTCAGAGATCACTGGTCAATAAGCTGGTTATCTGGCCTGGAGGGATAGCTCAGTGGCATACTCACCTGCCTGGCAAGCTCAAGGTCATGAGTTTGATAAATAAGCTGGTTATCCAGCCAGAAACCTCTTAAAATAGTATTATGCTAACAGAATGTTTGTTTCTGGGTATTTGCTCAAAGCTCCCTTGTGGCAACAAGGCCTCTGTTTCACAGCAGTGAACCTTTATCCTCTAATTCAAAATTAAGGGACCAGCAAGATAGCTTAGTGGTCTAAAGCGCCTGCTTAGGCAAGTGAAGGGACCATGGTTTGATCCCTGGCACCACATGCCACTCCAGCCCTGCTCCCAGGGTAGACTGCGCTGGCCAGAGTCCAGGCGTGGTGGCACACATCTGTAATCCCAGCACTGGGGAGGCAGAAAGCAGGAAGATCACCATGAGTCCAAGCTGCCTAGTGAGACCCTACAACCAGATACACTAAAAATAAATAATATTAACAGGAAAGCTTTTCCTGGACTTGCCATTGTAAGATAAACTCTTGAACGGCTTTATTTATCATATCAAGACACTTACTTGGCTTTGAAGGTCTGTGTGCTGGGACAGTGTTACTCCAAGGCCTTGTGCTCTTATAAAGCACAAAGTGGGCAGCCTCGAACTCTACTGGCTCCTTCCTGTCCACTGAGCCACATCAACTGTGGTCTGCATCCTTTCTACACAGTAGTTACAAGGATGGGAGCCCAAGCTGGAGCTAAATGGCCCACCCAAGCCTTGCTATAGCACAGAAGCTACACAGTTGGGAGCAGTTTGTTCTATAAATATCCTACTAGTCTCCTTAAAACTAAATAAAAATTTAGAATTAAGGGAGTTAAAAATGAGTAACACCAGGCATGGTGGTACACAATTGTAATTCTAGCACTCAGGAGCCTGAAGCAGGAAGATCACCATGAGTTTTAGGCCAGTCTGGGTTACACAACCACAATGTCTTGAAAAACCAAAAACAAAAATTAAAAAGACAAATGAATAACTTATTTGCAAATTGGAGTCAAAGTATGCAACACTTACATCTCCACAAGATGTACAGGCAAGGTTCTTTTTTTTTTTTTTTTAATGTATTTGGTATAGGGTCTTACTATGTAGCATGGACTCATAGTGATCCTCCTGTTTTCAGCGATTACAGGTGTGTGCTACCTCACCCAGTCTCAGTGGCCAGCTCAGCACACCTGGGAGCAGGGCCAGTGTGGCAGATGGGTACCAAGGATCAAACCCTGATCTCTGTGCTTGCCTAAGCAGATGCTTAAGTCTGCTGAGCTATCTCACCAGCCCTAAGGGTGGTTATGATCAATATATGTGGTAGGCATGAAAATCTCATTAATATACGCAACTAATATATACTTATAAAAGTACAAAATAAGCTACATATTCACAAAGGTTGGATCTACCCACCTCCTTACCCACCATCTCCCCCACACCAAAAATAGGAAATTCCATGTATTTCTATCTGAAGGAATATGGCCCTTAGAGTTGGGTGAACAACTGTGAAAGGGAAAATGTCAGGAAGGCTTACACATTTGTCACTTCCTTACAAAAAAAAAAATGATGCTGGTAGATGTGGCACATTTGTTCCTTCAGCAAACATCTGTGCCTCAGTGCTAGATACCGTTGCTCTGGACAGTGGACAACATACCTGGCTTTGTCCTCGAGTTGTGCACAAGTGCTGGGTGGTACAAAGAAGGGACTGGGAGTTGAGGAAAACTTCATACTGAAAGTAACATCTGGATTAGAGCTAGTTAAGTTTCTACTCAGTGACCATCTGGCTCTCTACTATCCAGGTATCTTCAGGAGCTGCTGAGCCTGACCTAGCCAGGCCCCTGTGATTCATTGTGCTCATTCTTTTTTTCAGGTTAGAAATCTGCTACAATGGTATTCTACAGAGTTCAAAGACTATCTGATGGAGGACCGCCCAATGTGGTTTAGATCATTTCTGGTTTGCGAGCTTGTGTTTCAGCTGCCTTTCTTTCCTATTGCAGCATACGCCTTCTTCAAAGGTTGGTACATAAAGGGAAGACCACATTTTCACTCAGAAATCACGTCCCAGGCATCTTTTGGGAAAGTATCTCCAAAGCAAAGTCCCTGCAGTTTGCTTGTGGGCACCATAGAACTAGAACCCAGTAAAGGGACATCCATGTGGCTAAGGCTAATTTCCTGGTCAGCTGGGCCTCATGGCTGCCTCAGTTGTCTGGAGTCTCATACACAGGAAACCTGCAGCCGCCTAAGTGAAGAGCTTAATTCCATCCCCTTCCCCTAGCGCACAGAATTATTTTCCTGCTTTGGATAATACTATATTAACTTATAAGCAGTAGCATCCCTAAAAGGTTTTGCATTTAAAAATTCTTCATGTTCACACCCAGCCTTTTCGTTTTGAGCCAGGGTCTCACTGTGCGTAGTTCATGCTGGCCTTGAGTTCACTGTGTAGCCCAGGCTGGTCTCAAACTCAGTGATCTTCCTACCTCCACTTCAAGTGCTGGGATAACAGGTGTGCACCACCACGCCTGGCTATTTAATGCTTTTATACAGGTGGCCATACCTCTCTCATTGGTAACTAAGTTCCTACAGCTAAAAATACTGATTCCACACTGGCATCTACAAGAGTCACTGGATTCATGCGCAGGCCCCATACCCACATATGATTACTTCACAGACAGATACTGCCAGAGAGTTCCCTCTTCTTGGATTTTAGGCAACACTGGTGGTAGCAGATTTATTGCCAGATGATTCTTCTCAGTTCTTAGCCAATGAACTGGGATTCCAGTGCCCACCTAAGTTTGCATCTAGGCAGTAGAAAGCCAATTTTCTGTTCTGAGTTTCTACCTGCAGGGGAGTAGAATGATTCAACTGAAGAGGGCAGGGTAGAGATGTCCCAAGTGGTCCCGTGAACAAACCATCTTCTCTCCCTCTGCTGCAGGAAGCTGCAGGTGGATCCGTACCCCTGCCGTCATCTACTCCGTTCACACCGTGACCACTCTTATTCCGATACTCGCCTCCTTTCTATTTGATGACTTCTCCAAAACCAGTCATTTCAGAGGACGTGGACCTCAGACTTTGAGTGAACGACTCACCCTTGTAAGCATCTATGCCCCCTACTTACTCATCCCTCTTACGCTTCTGCTCTTCATGTTGCGGAACCCTTACTACAATCATGAAGATAAAAGAAAGAAGAAATGAGGACGGAACTCCTGGCCAACGAGATAAGTGTCCACAGGGGCATCTTTCAGACCCCATTCAGAAAACTGTTTGAACCCATGGCTTTGATGGCATTTGAAAACACTAGCAGCAGTACTCAAGAGCAAGGTGGTGGCCAGGGTCATGGTAGCAGGGGTGGGGGCTGTGGGCTTATAGGAATGTGGTGCCTAAGATCACTGCAGGACAGATGAAGCAGGTCCAGACCGCAGACCTGGTAATGGTCCATAAAACATGGCCTGCATGCCATATTTTGAGTTACTACAGTGTCTATAGCCGTGACTAAGCCCTTGACTATGCTTCTCTATAAGTACCACCAACCTATGCTTCTCTATAGGTACCACCAACCAAGTAAACAGTGGAATATTTCCAGCTGGCCGCTTTAAAAGTAGAAACTACACTTCTTTAGTAGTCATTAAAAACTTTTTAGCCCCTACTTCCTATCCCTGGGGGAAAAGTGAAATATGTGAAAGAGGTTTAACCCTAGCATGACTTTCAGTCAAATAGGTTGAACTGGAAAGTATTTTTGTTTCTGTCTTAAACCAGTCATCCCAAGAGATTTTTTTGTAGTCTTATTTCAAAATCTTAGTCTTCCCTATTGTTAGAGACCACATGAGATAATTCTCTTGACTCCGAAGTCTGGCATCTCAAGCTTGACCTGAAGTATGGTACCTGATGGATCTTCACTCTTCTTAATACCGTCTGACCATTCCTATCTTGTCAAGAGTAGGGCTGCTGGCCAGGACCAGCCCAGTGAATGTAGTGACAGATCTCCTGTCAGGGGTCTCTGGATGCTGTTCTGTTAGGTTTTCCTAAACCAATATATGAGGCTCTTCCTAAAAGGTGGACGATAACAGGTTCCCATCAACTCTCCGTCTTGCCCTTTGTGCCCAGAAGCCACACTGGTCTGACTGTTGGTGCCAGCGTGTGATGTCTCTGTCTGGTCCCAATAAATGTACTTTGTAGCCACTGCCTGGTTTGGTTTGTGGATACGGGCTAGAACATCCAGGGCTCTATCAAAATGGATTAAGCATATTGCAAAGCACTGGGGGAAGAAAGGTAGATGAAACTGTTTGAAAACAATAATTTATTGCTTTTCTTTCCAAAGTATTGTGAACTTACAAAAATGAGTGAAGTTTACAGATTGCTTAGTTCATACTTAGAATGCAAGAGGTGAGGACCTGCTCTGTGTGGCCACTGACGGCAGCTGGGCACTGATGTTTAATACCAGCTCCCCCAGTCTTGCACTACTGCCTTGGGGGGCTGCGCTCCTTACACACCGTCTTGTGACATACTTAGGTCACCAGTCAAGTCACTGGAATGTAGAGGGGCTGTTTTTGTTGGGAGGGGGACTTTTTTTTGCCTTCCTGCTATAAAAATGAAATCTTCAGTTCATTTCTGAAAAATAAATTGGTCAATAAATTCATTTTGTTCTGCTTCTACTTTACACAAAGCTTCATATTCAACTCGATACCTGAAAAACAAAATTGTTGAAGCTCTAAAAAGGATGAAATAAGCCACAGACTTAATTCTTCTAGAGAAGAATATAGAGGTTTAATTGATTGCAAGAAATGCTGTGAGTTCAGAGTGAAGTTAATGAAGACAAGAAAGACAAATAAGACAGAGGTAAAGCCCTGCCCAGGACCACTCCTGAGACGTCTCTACCCTGCGAAGGTTGCCTCCTGTGAGGGCCTTTCCACCTGAACATTCAGGCTTCATGGTATTAGCCAATTTTCCTTCCCATCAAATTTACTTTTAAAATCTCCAAATCAGGGTAAGTGAAATGCTACTCCTCAGGAAGTGGTGAAGAATAAGGGTGAGATGATCATTGGAGGAAAAGCAGAACTTAAGTGTAGAATAAATTGGGTTTACATCGTGACTTACCTTTCTAGCTGCATTTTCTTTTCTGCTATTAATGCTTGAAGTTGCTGTTGCTGGGCTTCCCGCTGCTTTGCTATAGATTTGAGCAAATTCCGAGCCCCAATGGCCTAAGAAACACAGTATGGCCAGAGGTCATGGCTTCGTTAGCACTGTCACAGCGGGGCTGTAATTCCTATGTCTTGCTGCCAGGCAGCTTTAACCACTGGCTTTTTATTAATTTTATTAGTTAGAAAGGCTGATAAAAGTAATTATATCCATCTGTAACCACCAGCGGTCTAAGCCACCTGATGGGACAGTCATGCCTGTAGCATTGGGAATGTGTTAAATCCACCTATAGCAGAAAGTCTTCAGAGTGGAAAAGGGCTGTTTGAGAGTTATGTCAGTACCTGGGGGGAAAAGAAAGTGCTGCTCCATGGCTTTGGGGCTTCATCGAAAGGATTAACCTACTGCCGAAGAACTGGCCTGAGAGTCAGTCTAGTCCAGGAGTATTCCCAGAGCCACAGGGGCAAGAATTTAGTGGCATCACTCAGCCCTGCATGCTTCACCAAGACATCTACCATGCAGGCCTTCACTTCTCCAGTTGTAAAAGGAGAAAACCACCAATCTGCACTGACATGAGGATCGAAGAAAGCAATGACGACATAGACTGGTATATAAGGTCAGCAGGCAAACTGGACCAGAGATGGTAAAAATCTTGTTTTAATTATGTAAGAACCCACAAGCAAATTGACAGAGCAAAGAATGAGAGGGTAGAGAATGAGGGTCCCGGCAAGCTAGAAGACGTGTTGATTTTACCTTCATCTTCTCATTTTCTGCTTCTTTCGCAAGTTGGTCAACAAGCTCAATTAGACCACCAACTATTTTCTGAAACTGGCCAATTTCTTTTGGGGAAAGAACAAAAAATAAAATATTTCTCACTTTGAAGCAGAGTTAACCATCTCTTCACTAGTTTATATTAAAAGAGTTTGGTGCCTTCTGGCTTAAGTTTCTGCCCTCAATGTGAACTTGGAGGGGGCGGCCAGATGCCCGGCCCTGGACCCAGGATATCTGTGCCCTGAATCAGCACTGAGCCAACCACCTGCTGTTACCTCAGGATCCAGGCGGACCCATCCTCCTGACAGCACCTACTCAGCCTCCCTCCCCAGGAGTGACAGGAAGCACAAGGTGCAGTTCCAAAAAGGACTCTCAGAACGTGCAGCCTCAACTAGCCATGGACGCAACACTAGCTCTCCATTAGTGGTGCGGGTGGAACTTTCCACCTGTAACCACAGTAAAGAGCACCTAGCGTTTAAGCGCCAAATGTTCCAGTGACGTTTAATGGCCTTGGTAGGATGGAAGCCCTACTGTACTGGCATAAACCAAGACCTAGCATCTTCACAGCAGTCATGGAAGATTGGCAGTAGAACCCAACCTCTCACCAAACTGCAGGCTACACAGCCCCAGAAGGCTCAGAATCATATTCCAGTGAGATCCGGCTCTGTCCACTGACACTGGCCTTGTCTTGGCCTGGGCCGTGCATGGGCCAGGCATCTTGATAATTTGTAACCCATGATTTCATTAAGTTTATTGAGCTGCTTCTAGATATTACCTCTAACTCCAAATAATGAAGAATCTGCCAAGAGAATACTATTGCCACTAAGAAATCAAGTCTGAACACCTAACTGCACTTCCCACTCCCAACCCATGGTTCTACCCCCTGAAGTTTTAAGCTTTTTGAATAAAGAAATTACATATAGCATATCTAAAAACCTCTCCTGTTCAATTTTGGCTCAGTGTGGGACTACAGAACAGCATCAGAAGAGGGCAAGGGAATTTAGAGGTCAGACTCAACCTCCACAGAGTCCACAGCTCCATTCTGGCAGGGCCAAGAGCTACAGGCATGGGCTGAGCTGAAGCAGTTGGACATAAAGCCGAGTGACATGTCTCCCCCAAAGATACTCACTGTCCACAAAGTCCTTGCACTCTTCTTTGAGCTCTGTGGTCTGCTGTGTAACCTCTGGGTCTAACACCCGCAGCTTATTCAGCTCATCAAAGTGCAAGCCGGCTTCGCCCAGGATGTCTTTGGCCATAGCTGCAAAGAAACCAGCCCCGATGCCCAGTCATTTACCATTACCCGGGGAAATGTCTCCAGCCCAGGCCATTCCTGCCCCCAGACACCAACACCAAACTCCCAGAAGTTCCAAGGCCCCTGTTTTCCCTGTCTCCACCTCTCAGCCTCACCTGTGTCCCTTCGAGGTTCCCTAGAGAAGTTCTGCTCTGAAGGGGTGACAGTGGCAGTCAGGAGGAGGTGTGTCATAGGAGCAAGGGTCAGGAAAGAGTAAAGTCCAGTTGCTTGGCACAGACATCCTCCATTCAACACACATTTCTTGAGTGCCAACTACATGCCAGCACTGCTAGATGCTGGGGGTACAGAGATGAATGCCACATGGCGCCCGCCCTGTAGAAGCACATAGTTCAGCTGGAGGAAGACAGACATGTAAACTGAAAAGTTAAACTGTGTTAAATGCTTTTTCAGATTTTTTTTTTTTAAGGTATTTGGTACAGGGTCTCACTCCGTAGCTCAGATTCATAGTGATCCTCCTGCTTTCAGCCTCCCCAGTGCTCGGATTACAGGCATGGGCTAGCCAGCAAGCACATATGGTGCCTAAATTGAACCCTGGCCTGGACAGCTCAGTGCTCCCAGGGGTGGAGCCAGTGGCAGGGATTGAACCCTGGTCCCAGCGCTTGCCTAAGCAGGCACTTAGTCCACTGAGCAATGTTGCTGGACTTTTTTTTTTTTTTTCAGAAATACTACTAAATAGAGCAGAAAGAGGACAAAGTTGAGTGGCATGTGGCCTAAGCTGTGAACCAAAAGCACATTTATAATCTCCAGTTATGTACCCAAAAGGTCACAAACAGGCCTGCACTGGGATAATGCACAATAAATAAAGACAAATTTTTTAAATATAGTTTAAAAATAGGCCAGATGTGGTAACCCATTTAGGACCCCTCCTGTCTCTCAGGAACAATTCCCATTCTCCATTCCCCCATTACTATTCCCTATTCCTTTTCTCCAGTAAATTTTCCTTAGGGGGAAAAAAAAAAAAAAAAAAAGACCAGATGTGATGGCACGTGCCTATAATCCCAACACTTGGGAGGCTGAGGCAGGAGGATCACCATGAATTCAAGGCCAGCTTGGGCTACACTGTTAGTTTAAAGCCAATGTGAACCACATAGTGAGACCTGTTTCAAAAGATTAGAAAACCAAAACAAAGTTGAAAAAAAAGCCAAAAAGGGGAAAGGGAGTAAGAAACAAGGCAAAAAAGTAACAAGAATATTACCTAAGATATATGCCTGAAGATACTATACAGTTTCCTGAATTAGGAATGAAAGTTGGGTCTATCAGAAAACACAACAAGGAATGAAGTATTAGCAAGAACACACCAAGTAAGGAGGCCAGGCAAAGGCATTCCCAGCAGAGAAAACAGCATGGACACAGGCCCAGTGTCACCTTTGGAAAGGGACTATCCTGCCTAAAGAATGGCACTAGAAAAGTGGGCTGGGGCCAGATCAAGGATTCTGTGTGCCGATCTAGGAGTACGGATTTTTATCTGTAGGCAACACAGAACCAACAAAGATATCTTCTCCCTCCCCAGGTCCTCGGGCCCTTCATTCCTGGCCCAAACACTGCCTCAATTCTGGAAAACACTGAAAGCCACCTGTGTTCTGGCTCAAACACACACATGCACACACAAAAGGGGCAGCACTACTAGTTAGGTCTGACCACTGGCTTCTAGGCCAATCCCCAAACCCAGTGTTCCAGAGATCATGCCCTGGACCACCCCTTCCCTCTGCTCCCAGCTGTGCCTGTTCCACTTTCTACTCTAGAAAAGCTCTGCTCTGAATGGAGTGATTCTGGGAGACACTGCCCAGAGCAGGTATGCCGCAGGAGGAGCAGTGGTGGGCAAAGAATTAAGTCCCGTGGGCTGAGGATGTGGCGCAGAGGTTCAGTGGGTGCTTCGCAGATGCAAAGCACCAGGTTCAGTCTCTAGGAGGCAGGGAGGGAGGAAGAAAAGAAGTAAATCCTACCATTGCCTCAACTTTTGATCTTTCTTTCTTTGTTTCTTTTTTTGTATTTAGAACAGAGTATACAGAGTGTACAGGGTCTCACTGCGTAGATCGGACTCGTAGTGATCCTTCTGTTTACAGCCTCCCTAGTGCTGGGATTACAGGCACATGCTACCATGTCCAGTCTTATTCACCATCTCAGCCTGCCCAGGGGGCGGGGCCAGCACAGCAGGCCAGGGATCAAACTCTGCGTCTGCCTAAGCAGGTGCTTTAATCTGCTGAGCTGTTTGGCTGGCCCTTGATTTCTTTTTTCTTTGCCATGGGTGTCTTCCTTCCTGCTTCTGTGTTCCCATCAGCATAGATACTCAAAACTAAGTTTAAACCCAGCTCGTGGGGGCTCCAGGAACTCTTCTCTGGTGCTCACTGGCCCAGAGGCTGCTGCTCCTCAGCCTCCTTTGCACTCTGCATCCCCAGAACCTCCACCAAGAGGGCCACAGGTCTCCAGCCTGCCCCTCTTCCCCTCTCTTGGTGCCCTCACCTTAAAGATCACTTAAAACATACCAGGTTTATGCAGACAACTCTGAGGTCCAGCTGAAGCCACTCCTGTAAACTCCAGATACTGCATCACTTGTCACCTTCCCCACTGGCTGCTGCTCCTCAGCCTTCCAAGTCCAAACCGGAGCCCCTGATTCCTCTAAACCTGCCCCCCATGCAGGTTGATGGCCACTCAGTCCTAGAGTCATCAGCACCTCTTGTCTTTCTCTGACATCCCACATCTCATCCTTTGGTAAATTCTTTATTATTAAAACAGAACCAGAATTTAGCCATTTGCTACTCCTGCCATGCTGGTCCCTTCCTCACCTCTCATTGTTGTTGGCACCTTAGTCTACTCTGTATTCCATTGTTTCTGCCTGAGGCCGTTCATCACTTCTCATCTTTACCTGCTTAGTGCATTCTCCACTTTGCCATTACAACACCTCGCTCATTTCTCTACTACTCCTTGTCTCACAGTCTACTCTTCACTTCTCATGGTTACACTATAAGAGAAAACACTGCTTCAACTTCCACTACCCTCCCTTTAGAGTCCCTGCCCTGGTGATGGAGTAGAGACAATGCCTTGGAAAAACAGTAACAAATAATCACAAACTGTGATGATAGTATGAGGAAAGGCATCTGATGCTTTGTGAATATGTGGCATGATGACAAAAGTCACAGGACAGAGGAATGTCAACACAGACCTACAAAAGTGATGCACTGCAGGGACTGGGGTTGGATCCCCCACACCACATGCCACACCGACCCCACACTGAGCTGGCCAATGAGACTGGCTGTGGTGGTGCACACCTGTAATCCCAGAGCTGGGGACGCTGGAATCAGGAGGATCACTATGAGTCAGAGCTGTGTAGTGAGACCCTGTACCAAATACATTTTTTTAAAAAGTGATGCTTGCCAGGCATGGTGTACATCTGTAATACCAGCACTTGAGAAGCTGGATCACCATGAGTTGAGGGCCAACCTGGGCTATACAATGAGTTTTTTGTTTTTGTTTTTTTCTGGTACCAGGGATGGAACTCAGGACCTTGCACTTGCCAGGTAGGCACTTGTGCCACTGAGCTATCTCCTGGCCCCCAACACAGTGACTTCAAGACCCCATACTGAAACATATAGTGAGACTCTGCCTTAAAAAAAAATCTAAACAAGTGATGCTTAAATTGAGATGTTCAAAAAGGATGTCCATAAATTTAAGTGACAGCACAGGGAGACATTCTAGGCAGAAGGAAAATCATATGGGAGACCCTGAGGCTAGATGCAATCTGCCCAAGAACTGAAAGGCTAGGATGATCAAAACAGAAACAGGATGAGGCCTGAGAGGAAAGCTAAAGTTAGATCATGAAAGGTTCCAAAAGCCACAGCAGTGAGCTATATCCTGTATCTTTAGACCCCCTCCCCTTTTGGTGATGCTGGAGGTTGAACCCAGGTTTTGTGCATGGAAAATGGGCTCTACCACTGAGCAACATCCCTACCTGCACCCCCTTTTTTATTTTAGAGAGAGGATCTCACTAAGTCACTTAGGTTGGGCTTGAACTTGCAATCCTCCTGCTTCAGCCTTCCAGAGTACTAAGATTACAAGCATGCACCATCACACCCAGCTTGAGCTTGAATTTTATAATGGCAATAGGCAGCTGATGAGTTCTCAGTAGAGCAATCTATCAAATTTTTAAAAATCACTCAAGTGCCGGCCTGATAGCTCTGCGGACTAAAGCGCCTGCTTAGCAGAGAGCAGCGGCAGGGGTTCGACCACCGATGTGCCTTGCGTGCTGTGACCCGTGCCGAGCAGGGCCCGGCCTGCCGCAGCAGGGTGCGCTAAAACGGCGACTGAGACTGGACCTGGTGGCGCGCGCCTGTAATCCCAGCACGTGGGAGGCTGAAAACAGGAGAATCACTACAAGTCCTATCTACGTAGTGAGACCCTGTAGACCCGGTCCTAAATAGAGAAAAATAAAAATAAAAAAGATCACTCAGCTTCAGCCTGGACATTATACTGGAGGCAACAAAAGCATACCTATCTGATTCTTCACTGTAACCCCAGCACCATGCCTGCTGCCTACACATCACTGGCACTCAGTAAATGTTTGTGGAATGGAGGACTGTGGAAACAGGAAGCTATTGCAGTAACAAAGGCTTGCAGGTGAAGACCAGTACTGCAAGCTAGATGTTCTGAGTTGATAATAAAAGTTAGTGATGGAGTGAATGAACGTGGGGGTTTGGAGGCGTGTAACCAAAGCAATCATGCATGATTCCTGTAAATGTGGCTGGACCAAACGTATGACAGGAGGGCACAGTTTAATGAGATGGGTAAGACGGAAGAGCGATGTAAGCAGAGGTTCACAGGAGACTATCAGATTCCCATCTCCCACCACACACGAGACAGCACAGGGAAGTACCAGGCGCGGGGGTATGGGACTGAGCTCCCGAGGGATAACCACAGACACGCTCTCAGCGCCGTGGTCCTCCCGGACCCACGCTGGCACTGCGGACAAAATCCACCCGTGGGATGTGGAGCTGGGACGGCGCAAAAGTTAGAAAGTGCTGAAGCCATATTACCGGTGCTAAGCTCCTTGTTACCCGAGCAGTAGTTTCCTCAGAAGACCGTTGCGACATCAACACACCAGGCGCAAAGCTTAACTAAGCTGGGCGCGAAATCACTCCCTAAGAATCCAGTGGGGAAAATGTTCTCGTTTCTTTTGACCTGAGTTTGTCTTCCCAGGTAGGGAGCCTATCTGATTCCTTTTGCCCCAGGTCTGCCCGCGTGCCCCGACCCGAAATCACGGCCTACCTGCCGACGCGGTAACGGCGGCACCCTTCGGCCCAGGCAGCTGCTGTGGACACACAGCTTCTTTCCCCAGTACGCCGCCACCAGTAAACAGCCGGCCGGCCTCGGCCGCTGCCACGGCTACAAGACCTATTTACTCTGAACGTCACCGCCGGACACCGGACGTAAGTGCCTCGGCCCATCCCACAAAGCTTGCTGGGAAACAGAGTCCAGAAACTGCCTACAAGCCCCAAAGGCCTTTGCGCCAACAAGCCCTCAGGAAGTAGTTGCGTTCTCCTGATGGGGACCAGGAAACTGGGAATTCTGCCTACGCCCCCGGATGGAGTGTTTTGCATGACGGGCCTTGTAGTCTTAGTTTGCTGGGTAGGCAGGGCTGGACCGGTCGGCCGGGAGGAGTCGGCGGGCTCAGGATGTGAGCTCACAGTCCGAGATCGCGGGCGGGCAGGTGGCCACGGGCCTGGGGCGGCACTGAGTCCGCTTGCCACTCAGCTGAAAGCAGAGGAGCCCCCGGGAAGGTGAGCGCTCTACCTGCAGCCGCCATAGGAAAAGGGGCGTTCGGACCCCCTGCCGGGTTCCGGGGGAAAGCGGTGGTCTGGGTCCCGGGAGATGGACATTTCAGATCCTCCACTAGGGGTGTCAGAATTGATGTTGGTTTCCCAGTAGAGAGGACGGCAGTGGGCTACAGAGGAGCCTACACTGGAGAGGGCACCAAAGAGATTGCTTGTTGCCAAATATCCTCAGGACCATTTGGATGAAGCCCAAGCTTCACCCCTAAGATTTCTGCTCGACTCGCGCAGTCATTACCAAGAACACCCTTCCACCCGCCACTCCCCATTGTTTGATGGATTTGTGGATGCATTTCCCTTTAGGGCCCAACCTCTTCCACCGCCGCAGTTATTTGTCCTTTGTCCTGCTTGGGTTCCCATCAGCTTCGCGTGAAACCCAGACCCGCCCCTAACCCTAGGCGTCCGCAAATAGCCACACACTGAGTCCGGAAGGAAAAGCGCTAAGGCTACCGGTGGAAACTTCATTCTTGCTGGAATTACTTTCAGGGGCGTCACCTGCCGCAGGATTCCTGGAACCCATTGGTCTGAGCCGAATCTGACCTGACGTCATCCAGGGGTTTAAAGCAATTGCTTTGTAGGAAAAGAATAGATTAACTCTGGATTTGTCTTGGCAAGCCTACCACCGAGTTCCTTTTGACTTGGCAGGAGAATGTGTGTGAGGTTTTTTGGGGTGGGTGGTTGGGTTTTGTTTTTTGTGGTACTGGCGATTGAGCCTAGGGGTGGTCTATGACGCGCACCCAGCTCTTTCCCGTTTTTGAGTCGGGGTCTCACTTAAATTGCCCAGGCTGGCCTTGGCCATCTGCCACCGTGTGCAGTTGTATGTACACTCTCTTAGGCAGACAGGGACTGAACACATATAAGATATGAGGAACTTGCTAAAACCTGTTAAGGGTTAGGCTTACTCCTTTGGGGTGGGCAGAAGAAGGTGAGATTATGCATACCGTTCTAGTGTAACTTAGTCATTGGGTAGTCTCGAGTCTTCTGGACAAACCACAAAAAGATTCACTACTTCACACAGCACCCACTCAAGCCCTTCTTAAGCATTCTAACCAAGGACCTACATAAATCTCTGTGTCCATGTGAGTGCATGCGGCGTGTTTTACTAGGGGTTGATCCAAGGGCTTTGTACCCCACAATTATCCCCATTAGACTAAACTGTTCCTGAAAAGACTTACATAGAGCTGAATGTAGTGGCACATACCTGTGAATCCAGCACTCAGGGAGTGCTGGAATTTCTTATTTTTTAATTTTTTTATTTTGAAATGGAACTCCCAGGTGTGGTGGCACATGCATTAGAGAAAGATCGCTGCAAGTTTAAGGCAGCCTGGACTACATAGCGAGTTCAAGGTCAGCCTGAACTACAGAGCACAACCCTGTCTCAAAAAACAAAATGATTTAAAAAAATAAATGAAAACATGCTGCATTAGTACAAACCTTTAGCAGGCAGGGAAATTTCCCTTCAAGTAAGGGGAGGGATAAATTTGTCCACGTATGATGGTACACAAACTACAGTTTGAGCTACAGTAGTGAGTTCAATGCTGGCCTGAACTACATAGCTAGACGCTGTCTCAAAAAAAAAGAAAGGGGAGTCCCACTAAATCTCTTCAGTAGCCCATTCTGGGCTTTAACTTTCTTTTTATTTGCGGAACCGGTGATTGAATTTAGGATCCTACGCTTGCCAGGCAAATGCTTATTCTACTAAGCTATCTCCTCAGCCCCCTGGGCTTTGATTTTCAATCCTCCTGCCTCAGCCTCCCAGAGTGCTGGAATCGCATGTATGTGCCACTACCCTCAGCTCTATGTAAAAGTCTTTTCAGGAACAATTTAGTCTCATAAACTGACATATGTTGAAGACTTAAAACTGTACTGTTTGGGGCGCAGAGCAGTAAACTTGGGGGAAACCAGTGCTATGCCTCTGAGTTGTACTTAGATTGATATGAGAACAAAAAAAGGTAATTTGACTTTTTTTCCCTGTCTCCATTACTCCTGCTGTGGTCTGAGCCTTTGTCATTTCTTCCCAGAACCACTACTTCCTCTGACCTTCCCACTTCCTCTCATGCATCTTTACATTTCCTTCCTTACATAGCAGCCACAGTTATCTTTGCAAAATATAATCAGACCACCATTGCTTAAAGCCTTCCAGTTGATTCCTTATACTAAATTGCAATTATGTGGGAATTAATATAATTGCCAATGCCGGGGATGGTAGCACCAGCCTGTAATCCAGCACTTGAGAGGCTGAGGCAGGAAGATTGCTGTGAGTTCAAGACCAGCCAGAACTGCATAGGGAGGAGACCGTGTCTGAAGAATACATAAGTTTGGGATATATCGGTGTCATTCTGAGACAGGGTTTCACTACACATTTCAGCCTAGCCTTGAACTCTGTGTGTAGCCCAGGCTGGCCTCAAACCTGCTGCCTCAGCCTCCCAAGTACTGAGATCCAAACTCAACAGTCATCTAGTACCTGGCTTCCCTGGCTTTGCATCAGACCACCTGCCCCCTGCTTTCTCTGTGCCAGGGTCATGTCTTTATTTCTGTTCTTAAAACTTGTAAGAGGAGCTTCACACTTACTCTTCCACCTGGA